ATGTTTACTCAGCGGACTCAGTCCCTCCAGCCTAGGAGTTTACAAAGTCATATTTGGAAAATGTATACACTAGGCAATAATTATTTGCTGAACATGCTGGACCTGCTCTCACCTCAGGGCCTTGGGACCCACTCTTCCCTTGGCCTGAGACACCCTTAATCCTACTTCCCTACCCTACAGACCTTCACTCAAATGCCACTTTCTTTTTCTTTTTCTTTTCTTTTTTTAAATTATACTCTTAAGTTCTGGGGTACATGTGCAGAACATGCAGGTTTGTTACATAGGTATACATGTGCCTTGTTGGTTTGCTGCACCCATCAACCTGTCACCTACATTAGGTGTTTCTCCTAATGCTATCCCTCCCCCAGCCCTCCAGCCCCCGACAGGCCCATTGTGTGACGTTCCCCTCCCTGTGTCCATGTGTTCTCATTGTTCAACTCCCACTTATGAGTGAGAACATGCAGTGGTTTTCTGTTCTTGTGTTAGTTTGCTGAGAATGATGGGTTCAGCTTCATCCAAGTCCCTGCAAAGGCCAAGAACTCATCCTTTTTTATGGCCGCATAGTATTCCATGGTGTATATGTGCCACGTTTTCTTTATATAGTTGATCATTGATGGGCATCAAATGCCACTTACTAATGAGCCTCGCCTCAGCATATGCCATTCCCCGTTTCATGATTTCTTCTTCTCCATTTAAATTATCTGATTATTTGGTTCATCAGTTCTCCATGCACTAAATTGCAAGTGCAGTGAGGGATGGGATTTTTGTCCATTTGGTTTATTGCTATATCCTCAGAGCCTAGAACAGTGCCTGGCATAAGCAGGTTTTTATTGTTTGGGTGACAATAGTAAATCGAATTGATGAAACTGTACATTTATCCTTATTATTACTGTCCCTTTTATATAGGCGTGATTTGTCTGTTTGTGAATCATCCATAGCACAATTTGAACTGTATCAAGGGACATCAGTATTAAGATTGAGCACCTGTGAGTCTCTGATTATGTGGAGATGTGAGATAGGAAGGGGCCCACGGATCTTCAGTGAGGAGTGCAGAGGATCTTTGGGGTCAGGAGTCTCTTTTGGGTTCTGTGAACTAGTCAGTTTCACTTGCTGCCCCTACAGATGGGCCCATTCCCTCAGGGTGCACCAGAACCATGGGGACCTCCCATTACCTGCCCCAGATGCCTGAAATCAGTCCCCAGACTTTTCTGCCTTGGCTGGACCCCTGTGTTTGCTCTGTTTGCATGGCCAAGGTCATTTGTGGGGGAGAGCTTGAGAGTGGGCCTTATATTCTCTAGTTTTTAATTCCAATTTGAAAAGCTTGAGCTCACCTACAGGGTGAGTCTACATGACTAATTTTATGTTTTATTCCTCCAAGCAAGCAGGACTTTGAGCATGGTTACCCTTTGCTGCCCCGCAATTCTGTCTTATCAGTGGTTACTGGTACGGATTGGGCACTTAGGAACATCTGAGATATTCTGAGGCCAAGCCTATCCCTTTCAGAGCTTACTGGTGGCACAAAAGGTACCTTCTGGTTGGGCTGTCCCTTTCTGTCTGGTCTGCCATTCTAAGCTGGGCTGAAATTTCCAGTCACCTTTTTGGATTATGGCATGATTTCTGGAGGGTCTCTCTACAATGAGAGCATATTACATTGGTGACATGTTAACTCAGGAGTACTCACTGGCATATATTCATTGGAGTTGCTGGCGGAGGAGTAGATACGTCCTTGAGAGCCTGGGCACCAAGATGGTATATTTTGATGGATGGGGTTGGAGGGGGAAAAAGAGTGCTGAAGCCTGGAAACTGTATATGCTCTGGGGATGGCAAATGTGGGTGAATAGCACTGGAAGAGGCCATGACCATGAAGGAACTTGATGCATAGGACGAAGGGAAGTGGGGAGAGAAATGAGGGAACATGAAAAGAGAGACATGTTGGCCAGGCGCAGTGGCTCACGCCTATCATCCCAGCACTTTAGGAGGCCGAGGCGGGTGGATCACCAGAGGTCAGGAGTTTGAGACCAGCCTGGCCAATATGGTGAAACCCCATCTCTACTAAAAATACAAAAATTAGCTGGACGTAGTAGCAGGTGCCTGTAATCCTAGCTACTCAGGAGGCTGAGGTAGGAGAATTGCTTGAACCTGGGAGGTTGCAGTGAGCCAAGATCATGCCATTGCACTCCAGCTTGGGTGACAAGAGTGAAACTCCATCCTGGGGAAAAAAAGAAAAGAAAAAGAAAAGAGAGGCATGTGGCACCAAGGAGAACCTCAAAATTTTGCAGTGGGGTATGCTATGGTCCTCACCTGTTATACATTTTTCTTTTTAAATGGAGAGAGATATCAGCAAAGGAAGATTAATTAATTTACATTTAATCCATGTAAATTAACCTTGTAATTATCTTACAGGGTTCCTGAGTTGTGAGAGTTTGTGTAGCATGCTTTGGGGTTGCAGTCTTCATTTAGCACCTTTTCTTAAGTATAATTGGTTTTGGGCTTGTTAATGAATTGGCACACAAATCTTGCTACACTCCCCATGTCTTCTTTCGTGTAAGTTGAGGGTCGAACATAAAGCTATGTCAGGGAATGATCAAGCCTAGATAAGAAGCAAATAGGTCAGCTTTGGGGGTAATTTTGATCTCACAAATGTCTGAAGTCTTGCTGTATTTCATTCTCTCTTCTCTGTGAATTCAATGCTCACTTGTGTGGACGCTGAGGTCCTCAGAGTGTTAAGAAGTCATTATGGCATTAGTACAGGACAGAGGAGATGGGGCTTACTGCACTGTGCCATGGGATTCTGGGAACCACCCTGGTCCATCACAGACTCCTCTGACCTGTAAAAAGTGCTGCTAATCTTCTTACTGTCTGCCTTATAAGATTTGGGAAGAGAAATGAGGTAATGTCTACTTAGATCTTTGAGCTTCTGGGAAGAATAGCATTCTGCAGTAATATGATTTCCTAATGTGTTTGTTTGTGTTGTAATAGACTGTAATTCCTTTTACCTACCTTTCTTTAGGAGCTCCTAGAATATTTGACTGTCTTGCCCAGGGGAAGCAGTCTGACATTGAGAGTGAGAACTGGACCTAGACTAGAACCCTTAAAGCACATTGAGCCAAGTGAGCCAGCTATAAATTTATGAGTGTAGGGGAAGGATACTGGGAGAGGAAGAAATGGAAGCTGGATTTGGTCGTAACGAGGGAAGGGATTGTAATTATCTTCAGAGAGTTTATATCATACTTTTAAATCTTGCTGTTTTGCTGAGGATCAGTGTCTCAATTTTGAAAAAAATATTTATTTATACTGCTCTCGTTGTCTATAATGATAGACTAACCTAGCCCCCTCAAAGATTTGGTTTGTTATATTTATTGAGCCACGACCTACTGTGTTTGACTCTGATACCAGCAGTTCCATACAAACACTGACAAATTTTTAGATTCATTTGTAAAGTATGTAGTAGATTACTAAATAATACTTCATTTTTATTCTGCATATAAATACTTTTTTAAAAAAATTAAAACAGTCATGAGCAATCTAACCTTTTATATAGCCTTTGGAACAGTATTACAACTAAGTTGGCTTTCTAGGCAGTTCTAAAATGAGAAGTTAAAACAAGTGATGAAAAGTGGGGAAAGTATGTACATGTGTCATCTCTGACATACCCTAAAGTTATTAATTTATATGACAATTATCTGTATTGGATAGTTTTACTATGACATTTACTAGAAGCGGTTGGTTCTTCGGAAGTTTCAAAAGAATGTCAGCTTTCCACAAAGGAATTTTCAAATAACTGTTTAGTTAACCAGAAAATGAAATAGCAAGTCTTCTCTTCCAGAGGGGTAAGTATATACATTTTTTTTTTTTTTTGAGATGCAGTCTTGCTCTGTCGCCAGGCTGGAGTGCAGTGGTGCAATCTTGGCTCACTGCAACCTCCGCCTCCTGGGTTCAAGCGATTCCTCTGCCTCAACCAGTGCCTGGCACTAGCAGGTTTTTATTGTTTGGGTGACAATAGTAAATTGAATTGATGAAACTGAGTCTCCTGAGTAGCTGGGACTACAGGCATGCGCCACCACACCTAACTAATTTTTTTTTTTTTTTGTATTTTTTAGTAGAGATGGGGTTTCACCATGTTGGCCAGGATGGTCTCGATCTCCTGACCTCGTGATCCGCCTGCCTCAGCCTCCCAAAGTGCTGGGATTACAGGCATGAGCCACTGCACCTGGCTGACTACATACACTTTTTAAGAACAACTAATTTTTCACCATGTTAGCCAGGATGGTCTCGATCTCCTGACCTCATGATCCGCCCGTCTCGGCCTCCCAAAGTGCTGGGATCGGGAGGCTGAGGCAGGAGATTGGCGTAAACCCAGGAGGCGGAGCTTGCAGTGAGCTGAGATCCGGCCACTGCACTCCAGCCCTGGCAACAGAGCGAGACTCCATCTCAAAAAAAAAAAAAAAAAAAAACAAGAACAACTAATTTTTATTTTCTGACAGACTAAAGTGTTACAAGTTTCATTTACTAAATTATAGAATAGAATACAGAGAGAACATACCTTGTTACCCAAAATGTGACATGAAAAAAATAAATCCTTACCAAACTCTGTGTCTGTTTGCTTATGTTGCATGCCAGACACATATGAAAAAAGTCATTTTGTTTCTTAAATTAAGAACCTCTTATATAAAGAAATGATATAGAATACTATGCCGCTGAGAACAAAATGATACTAAAAAATTATGACTCAGAGATAGAGTTCATATGAAGTTAAATTATGAGTAATCTTAATAAAACCACATTTTCTCTTCTGGAAAGTTTACTAGAGTTTGAGTGAATATTTCAGAGTGTTAAACACTGTACAATTTTTATGTTCTCGTGTAAAACTTCATGATAAATTTATGATTTTCTGCCATTGTGTATAAATAGGGATAAGGCATATATTTTTAAAGATAAAAATATGTTTATATTAATCTGTCACCAGTTAAGTTGTGATGTTTTATTTGAATTTGTTTCAGAATCGAAGCAAACGCTTGGAGAAGGTCCATGTGGTTATTGGGCCTAAATCATGTGACTTGGATTCTCTCATTTCGACCTTCACATATGCTTACTTTCTAGACAAGGTGAGGGAAAAAAAGGGTAATACTTCTTATATTTTGAATTATTATGTAACTTTTAAGAATAAACATTTTCTCAAAACAAAGGAACCTATTAACTTAATTTTTAATGTTCTGATTTATTGTTGCAGAGCATAAAGTATTATCATCCATGAGTCAACAAATATTTATTGGGCACCTACTATCTGTTAGGCATTGTTCTGGCTATTTCTTTCCAACTCTCCTTATAAAACATTGTTTCAATAAGGACAATGTTTTCAAATAAAACATTTAAAATGTTCATAATAATTGATTAATTTTATGGAAATTCATAGAACTAATAAAAGTAAGAATCAGATTTCTTGTTTTCCTTTGTCATCCTTGCTGATAGTCCTGCCTTTGGGAGCAGAAAAATACGTGCAGAATAATTTGTGTGAACAGTACATGAATGGCAGAGCACACTGGCTAGAGTTTTCAGTGACAGGTATTACATGTCAAATCTGTTTCCTGTCGGTCCTTGTTTGGTTTTGCCTTGTAGCCCTGACTTTGTGCAGCAAGATCATCCTCAGTTAGTGATCATCTCCCTTGAGGAAGACTCTTTTTATTCTGTGAAGCATACGATGCACCTATGGGAGTGGAAAAGACCTTTCAACAAATGACTTTAAAACTTTAAATCTATAAAACTGATGAGCTCATGATGATGGGCTTTTTATTAACTTAAAGCCTAAAAATGTATGGTATGAGTGTCTAGGTGCTATTTTCAATGTCACGCAATTTTTAATTTTTCAGAATCTGATTTGTTTTATTGCAATTTTGTTTGGATCCTTGGACCCTGACAGTAGGCAGAGCTGGTCTAAAGCGATTTAAATTCACACGAAGCCTAGTCTTCCAGAATGAGCTGTGGGTGGCCAGAACTGCTGTAGGGCAGAAGCTGATAAAAACGCTGGGTAAAATATTCTGATCTCTACATGTGGGCTTTATATCAAATTTATCTTAAAATTTGTTGAACTTTACAAGGGAGATTAATTGATATGAGGAGATAAATGTGCCTCTGTTAAGACATGCATATTAACACTAATTTTGTTAACTGGTATTTTGACTCCTAGAAGAAAATGTTACTTATCTAGAGAACATGGAGTTGACAAAACCAAACCGATTTTTAGAGTGATAGTGGCATGGACTTGGAAATGATTTAATAATAATGCCACCACTACCACCTACTACAATGTCTTGACATCCAATAAAAGGAGTAGAAAAAGTAATTGTGATAGACAAAACACATAGATAAAAATAAAAATACATGTGGATTCTCTTCTTCTTCAAAGGTTTGCCAGTAAGCATGGAGATGAATGTGGAATTACTGTAAGGTCTCATACTGAGAATTTGGTTATATTTCTCTGCCTCTCTCTTAGTTTACTGGCCCCCCTGGCTAGTGGCCTGTGTCTCTATTTAAATTTTCTTCAATAAACCCAACTACTCCCTCTCAGAGTACAAACATGTAGGATAAGGAAAGAGTTTTTCTGCCTCATGCGTACGACCCCATTTAAGTCCTCATTCTGGTAAGTGAGCCGCATTTGCAGATAGGAAACGCAGAGTCTCAGAGAGGAAACTGGCTTTCTCAAACTTACGCAGTAGAGACTGGGGCTGGAACCTAGTTCTTGTGACATCAACTTCAGAATAGGTCCTGCCAGGAGAGGCTCAGGCCACATGCCTGATTTACATATTGATTCTTCCCCACTCCAGTTTCAATATCGGGAGTTAGATAGAACCTTCCATTCATTAGGAAAAGTAACTAGCCATACGTAAGTTGTTAACACTTAATATGCAACTGTGCTTCAGTATTAGCATGAGAGGAGGGAGAAAACCCACTTTGTTGGAGTGGCTTCGTGCTTTGTATGCTATAGCAGTGGCTGATTCGTTTCTTTCATTCAACAAATATGAACTAAATGTTTACTATGTGCCAGACTGTTTTACACACTGGAAACATAACTGAACAAAACCATCAAAAAGCCCTGCTTTCTTAATGCTAGAAAGAGGAGACAGATGATAAAGATGTTAAAACTGTGACAAGCTGGTGATGGTGTGACAGTAAAGGCCATTTACTTTATGCACAAATTCCATGTCACTGAACCCCACATTCTCTCAGTGATAGTTAGGATTATTGCTGTATATTCATAGTAATTTTTAAAGTGCCTTTATTTTTTACATTCCCGTACAAAAACAAGTTTATTGTTGTAACTCTACAATTCTCTACCTCTTTCCTATCTCCTGTTTTCTCTGGTTGCCACAGATCCATTTTCTAAGAGACTTGTTAATAAAAAATGTTTTTTATGATTTAAGAAATCAGTAGAGATCACAATCTGATAGTCTCTAGGCTGAAGCTGACTCATAAATGAATTTCTACTGACATTCTGAATTTTACAAAATGAATTGTAGTAATTAAATTTCACAAATAATACCCCAAATCTAGACTTATAGCTTCTCTTGGGTAATTAAATTTTTTTTTTTTTTTTTGAGATGGAGTCTTGCTCTGTCCTCCAGGCTGGAGTGCAGTGGCACAATCTTGGCTCACTGCAAGCTCCGCCTCCCGGGTTCACACCATTCTCCTGCCTCAGCCTCCTGAGTAGCTGGGACTACAGGTGCCTGCCATCATGCCTGGCTAATTTTTTTGTATTTTTAATAGAGATGGGGTTTCACCATGTTAGCCAGGATGGTCTCGATCCCCTGACCTCATGATCTGCCTGCTTCAGCCTCCTGAAGTGCTGGATTACGGGCATGAACCACCACCGCACCCAGCCTGGTAATTTAAAGTTTTAACAAAACTGGGCCTGAATTTTTACATGTGAAACATTGGCTGGGGCTGAGTGACAGGCATTCCACTTAGATGCAACATATGTGCCTTCCTCTGTCCCCACAGTCCCCACCCACCCTGCCTCAATTGTCCTGATTTTGTGCCAAGTTTATAAAGATATGTGAGTTTATTACTCTTAAAGAAGAGAATGTGTATTATATATAAGCATATTTACATTTTAGCCCCTGCACAATTTATATATATGCATATATTTAAATTTATATATAAATATATTTTATATGTTATCTATTTATTTAAATTTTATTTATATGTAATATATATTTATATATACAAATGGTGCAGGGTCTAAAATGAGACATTAAATAAAGCATGAGACGTTTCAAGCAGGGTAACAAGAGGTTAAAAAATGTTAGGGGCCACTCAGAGCATAAGGCCCTGTTAATTGGGTTCAGGAAAATTTGGTTATGAACGCCAAGTGGTTTAGTGAGGCCAGAAGACTCCCATTCCTTTTCCCAGTTACCCTGAGGCTGGAGAAAATGTAATTGTATTCTTTCCTCCTGCTATTTTCAGTAATTCAGTCAACTGTTTTCTTGGTAGGTCAGTCCACCAGGGGTTCTGTGTTTACCAGTGCTGAACATACCAAGAACTGAATTCAACTACTTCACCGAGACGAGGTTTATTTTAGAAGAGCTAAATATTTCCGAATCATTCCACATATTCCGGGATGAAATTAACCTGCATCAACTAAATGATGAAGGGAAGTTATCGGTAACACTTGTTGGCGGCAACGTGCTGGCGAGGTAAGATCCATTGTGAAGCTCTGCGAGTTAATCCTTCAATGAAGGTTCTTCTGGGCAAAGTGTCACTTTACTCAGGACTTTTGTGGTTTAGGCAGATGTATTAAAAGCAGACATGTTGGTCTTGGTGGCTCACGCCTATAATCCCAGCACTTTGGGAGGCCAAGGCGGATGAATCACTTGAGGCCAGGAGTTCGAGACCAGCCTGACCAACATGGTGAAACCTTGTCTCTACTAAAAATACAAAAGTGAGCTAGGGTGGTGGTGCATGCCTGCAGTCCCAGCTACTTGGAGGCTGAGGCATGAGAATTGCTTGAACCCAAGAGGCGGAGGTTATAGTGAGCCGAGATCGCACCACTGCACTCCAGCCTGGACAAAAGAGTGAGACTGTTTAAAAAAAAAAAAAAAAAAAAAACAGGCCGGGTGTGGTGGCTCAAGCCTGTAATCCCAGCACTTTGGGAGGCTGAGACGGGTGGATCACGAGGTCAGGAGATCGAGACCATCCTGGCTAACACAGTGAAACCCCATCTCTACTAAAAAATACAAAAAACTAGCCGGGCGCCGTGGCGGGTGCCTGTAGTCCCAGCTACTCGGGAGGCTGAGGCAGGAGAATGGCGTGAACCCGGGAGGCGGAGCTTGCAGTGAGCTGAGATCCAGCCACTGCACTCCAGCCTGGGCGACAGAGCGAGACTCCATCTCAAAACAAAAACAAAAAAACAAACAAAAAGCAAAAAACAAACCCCAAAATCCCAAAACAACAATAACAACAGCAAAGCAGAGGACATGCAGAGGAAAGGGAATATCTTTTTCTTCTCTTATGCCAAAATTTGGGTCATGCTAATCCTTCATTTTTACTTTTGCATTTCAGATATGAAATCTTTAAGTGTAAAGTTATTATAAAATTGACCAAATTATAGAGGTTTGTTTTGTTTTGTTTTGTTTTGTTGAGACAGAGTCTTGCTGTGTCTCCCAGGCTGGCATGCATTGGCTCTATCTTGGCTCACTGCAGCCTCCACCTCCCAGGTTCAAGCAATTCTCTTGCCTCAGCCTCCTGAGTAGCTAGGATTACAGGCATGTGCCACCACGACTGGCTAATTTTTGTAGTTTTAGTAGAGACAGGGTTTCTCCATGTTGGCCAGGCTGGTCTTGAACTCCTGACCTCAAGTGATCTGTCCACCTCAGCCTCCCAAAGTGCTGGGATTACAAGTGTTAGCCATCACACCCAGCCTAAAATTATAGTTTTTAAACCATTTCAAACACTTTCTTATAGCAATACAGTAGTCTTATGTATTGATGCCGAACATGTGTAATAAAAATTGAAATTAAACACTAGATAAAATGGAATGGTTCTTAGGAAAGAAATCTCAGTGGTGACATGGAAAAATATGTAGAGATGGACTATGAAGATCGTTTGATTATTTATTCATTCATAGCATTTTATACTATAAGAGAATGATCTTTTTTTTATTATTATTATTCATGTAGCTCAAACTTTTTATTTTATGGATAAGACACTTGAAACTCAGTGTCACAAACGACTTGTCCAAAGAACCACATGCAGGCTTGACATGGTGTCTGATGCCTGTAATTCCAGCATTTTTGGAGGCCAAGGCAGGAGGTTCACTTGAGCCCAGGAGTTTGAGATCAACCTGGGAAACATGGTGAGACCCTGTCTCTACAAAAAGTACAAAAAAATTAGCTGGGCATAGTGGTACGCACCTGTGGTCCCAGCTACTCAGGAGGCTGAGGTGAAAGGATCACTTGAGCCTGGGAGGTTGAGGCTGCAATTGCATCTCATGGTTGAGCTGTGATTACACCACTGCACTCCAGCCTAGATGACAGAGCGAGACCCTGTCTCAAAAAAAACAAAACAAAACAAGCAACAACAACAAAAGCAAAGAACCACATGTAGTTAGCAGAAGAGTTGGGATTAGAACTTTTATCTTCTGACTCTTTGAATAAATACTTAAGCATTGCTAACTCATGCAAAAATCTACAGGTGCCTAAGGAGGAATAAGACAAATTCTCTGCCATCAAGAACTTTATGAAGATGTCCTTTTGATAAGCTTTCTACTGCTACTGAATGAAGATTCACCAGTTAAACACTTCAGTAGTTTAAAATGTTAGTTTTTCACAGTTTGGCGATTTGCAAGTTGTTGATAACCTTAACCAGTGGACACTGACCTTAGCATACATGAAATAAAACCTTTTCTACTTAATAATTTTGTATTTAACTTTTTAGGAAGCATATTTAGGTATGAATGTATTGTGATATCTATCATACAATTCATTTACTCATGAGGAGTTTTGAAAATAACCTGCCTATGTGTGGCTGCTTTTATCCTCATGCTGTTTGAAACTGAATGAAATTATTTGAATAATATTTATCGATCATTTACACATGGCTAAAAGTTCTGGGTAGTTTATTTGACTGACTTCAATGACTGGTATTCAGGAAATCATATGCTTGACAAAATTTATATGTTAACTATTTCTTTTTCTTTTTCTTTCTTTTTTGTTTTTTTGAAATGGATTCTTGCTCTGTCGCCCAGGCTGGAGTGCAGTGGCGCAATCTCGGCTCACTGCAGCCTCCACCTCCCAGGTTCAAGCGATTCTCTTGCCTCAGCCTCCTGAGTAGCTAGGATTACAGGCATCTGCCACCACACCCAGCTAATTTTTGTAATTTTAGTAGAGATGGGGTTTCGCCATGTTGGCCAGGCTGGTTTCAAACTCCTGACCTCAGGTGCTCCGCCTGCCTCAGCCTCCCAAAGTGCTGGGATTACAGGCGTGAGTCACCATGCCCAGCCATGTTAACTGTTTCAAACCAACTGATGTAAAGAGACACAGATAAATACAATGCAATTGGAATGTGAATTGTGGAACTAGTGTCTGTCAATCAATCAAAATCTGAGGAATAGTTTTGTTATCAATTAAAATGGAAAAATTTAGACTGATTTTGAGGCTGGGATTGTGAACTCTAGCTCTAGAATTGTTTATGAAATAGAATGCTTTTCAAAAATAAATTGAAATCTTTATTTCTTTCATTGCCACTCATTTGTTTTTGACAGGCAGAAAGAATAAAATTGGATTGATCCAAACTTTTCTTCCTGCCTTTGCTAAAAGCCACCTCTGTCTCACATATAAAGAATGATGGTGGAAGGAAAATAGGCCCAGTAGTGTTTTTTCTACACCACAGTGACTGGATTTGCAAGCTTTGGAGCCAGGTTATTGGAGTTTAAACACTGGCTAGTCTACTTAGTAGATGTGTGATGATGCACAAATTTCTTAACCTCTTTGTGCCTCAGTTTTTTTTATTTATACAATGGGGATTTTCTAGTGTCATTTTCTAGTGTCGTTTTTAGTGCATTTTATAGAACTCTTTTTTTTTTTTTTTTTTTTTTGAGACGGAGTCTTGCTCTATTGCCCAGGCTAGAGTGCAGTGGCACGGTCTTGGCTCACTGCAACCTCAGCCTATGTGGTTCAAGTGATTCTCGTGCCTCAGCCTCCCAGATAGCTGGGATTATAGGCACCTGCCACCATGCCTGGCTAATTTTTTGTATTTTTAGTAGAGATGGGGTTTCCACATTGGCCAGGCTGGTGTTAAACTCCTGACCTCATGATTCGCCTGCCTCGGCCTCCCAAAGTGCTGGGATTACAGGCATGAGTCACTGTGCTCGGCCTATAGAATTCATTTTACAGTGTTATTTTCTAGTTTAAAATATGATAATATACCTAAAGTATTTATAATAGTCTCCAGCCTGTGGTGGAAGTCCAATAGTGTTAGCTACTATTATTTTCCAAGAGTGCAGCACAGGATAAAGCTGGTAAGGTATGAAGGTACTTTAATAATTTGGGGGAAAATAAATAGTTTAAATGAAATGTGAAAATACGTAGAATAAGGCTCCCATCTTCTGAGTCATGTGAGTTCCCTCGTATTTTTGGTCATTGAGAGGAAGTCATTTGTGTGAGAGCAGAGATTTAAACATTCCCAAAAGTAATAAGACATGCCATATTCCTTTCTCCTCCTCCCCTCCATTTGCTTTATAGTGAAGACAAAACTTTAGAATCAGCAGTTGTCAAAGTCATTAATCCGGTTGAGCAGAGCGATGCCAACGTTGAGTTCCGAGAGTCTTCCTCTTCCCTCGTGCTGAAGGAGATTCTCCAGGAGGCTCCTGAGCTCATCACCGAGCAACTGGCTCATCGCCTCAGAGGTGAGAGACGGCACTTCCTATTAAATACCGGAAGGCTTAATGGAGTGTCTCCCGGCCTGCTCATGTAGAAAGAATGCAATCCATTCTTGGGTTAACAATCTCTTTAAAGACCACAGGAAGCTTCATCAGAGAGGCAGGGAGTAAAGAGTTTGTTAAAGAGTAGCATTATATTGAATATTAAAAATGTGCATTTAAAAATAGGCATGAGGGGCCTTTGCTGTTTCACCACAGAAGAATATTAAATGGAACTGCTGCAGCTCTGTTAGGGAGCTGGATAACACCTCTGGCCATTGTAATCGCTGCCAGAGGTGATTCTTGCCCCAAGACAGCATGATAGGGACCAGAATTCCAAGTTCCCAGGTTGAAATATCTGCTGATACTTTTCCATGCTTGGTTTATGACATACTGTTTGGATGGCAAAATACGTGCCCTTCATTTTGGTGATACTGTGTCAGGGCTTTTATAGTCAGATGTTACCTCCTTTGCTCGCCTGTCTTGGAACATATTCCATCTTCACTCAAACTGTTTTAAGCCCTGGGGTCCTGAACACACCGTCATCAGTTCCTCTAGTAATCTCTCTTTCATCTCGATCAGTGGAGCCTCCTGCTTCCAAACGGTGGTTTTCAAGCTGGAAATTGTCAGTCAACTTTGGAACCACAAAATTACCACAGAAATTCCATTATTTACTCACAGAGGACACTGTTCTGGTTTTTGTAGAAAGCATTTCCCTCCCCGCACCGCCAATCCATTTTGAACATGGTAGATGGTTTTCTTAAAAGTATTCAACACAGGAAAGTGAAAAACAGTGATGAACAGATTGAAATAATTCTAAAAGAAGACCAGAATTATGTTGACTCAACTCTTTTAAGGACTCTGTCCTTCAGTTCTTCTGTCTCTTCCACAGTTTGGAGGGGAAAAGGTTCAAGAGGTGTGTAATTCTTGTAAAGGTGTAGAACTGATGGCCTTTGTAAACCTGCCTTAAATATTTCCCTGGCAATGAATGTCTATAAAAATGCTCTGTGGGAAACTGTGCTCTCAACTAAACTAAGTAAGCACAATCATTTATCTCTGTGACAGAGCAGAAGGAAAATGAAGGTAATTGGGAATCTCAGCCAAGAGGAAAGTTGTTCAACAGCACAAATGTGTGGTACAGCCAAGCACTAGAGAATATTTTGTTTAAGTATCTTGTAAACTAAGAAGTTTGGTTAATTGTTGTGAAACTACACATGTTATTTAGTAGAAAAGAAATGTGGTCAATAAGCAAATCATTATCATAATTTTTGACAAATAGCAAAATAATATGAAACAAATACATTGGCACAAAGATATGACTGTTGTTGGTAGTGATAACAATGATATTCAGATTTAGGGAATTAGAAGGAGTGCAGACCCTTTTGTTATTTATCTTGATTTTAGTTTGCAGAGCTACCAAAAAATAGAACAATGGTAAAAGATTTTGCTTCTTTCTTCTTAAATTTTTTTACGCTTTTTTTTTTTTTTTTTTTTTTTTTTTTTAGAGAGAGTGGGTCTCACCATATTGCCCAGGCTAGTCTTGAACTCCTGAGCTCAAGCCATCCACCAGCTTCAGTCTCCCAAAGTGCTATAATTAAAGATGCAAGCCACCGCACCTGTCTGGATTTTGCTTTGCTTAACACCAGATGTTTTTCTTGAGGTTAGGCTTGAAGTAGCATTGGGAAGCTGGCAGAATGTGGGCATCACTTCCTTGTCTCTTGGAAACTGGAATGTGAGAGGATGAAGAGCTTCTACCTGTGAAGCCTGTCAATACTGTTACTGTCATAAAAGAGCCAGAGTCATTAAACCCTGGGAGGTAGAAGACATAGGGGACTTATTATGGTGGAAAGAGGGCTCTGGAGATCTTTTGCCAATGCATATGTGTGTGTGTTGTGCTCGCGTGTGTGCGTGTGTGTGTACATATGTGGAGGGGAGATGGAACACTACTGAATAGTTTTGGCAAGAGGGAATGTATTAGTCTGTTTTGCGTTGCTGTAAAGAAATATCTGAGATGGGGTAATTTAGAAAGAGGTTTATTTCACTCATGCTTCTGTAGGCTGTAGGAAAAGCATAGTGCTAGCATCTGCTTCTAGTGAGGACCTCAGGAAGCTTCCATACATGGCAGGAAGCAAAGGAGGAGCTGGCATATGACATGGGAAGGAAGGGAGCAAGAGAGTGGGGAGGTCCTAGACCTTTTTTAACAACCAGATCTCAGGTGAACTCATTACTGCAGGGTGGGCACCAAGCCATTCATGAGGGATTGGCCCCCCTGACCCAAACACCTCCCACCAGGCCTCACCTCCAACATTGGAGATCACATTTCAACATGAGATTTGGAGGGGACACACATCCAAACCATATCAGGGAACTAAAGGATGGTTATCCAGGGAATCTGCCTTTTAAAGACGCAACTCAAATGTTCAGAGGTAAAAAGATGTTGGGGTAATAGGTCAATTTTTAAAAGCTCCTGAATTGTTAGTAAATACAAAAAAGGAATCAAGTAGGCTGGGTGTGGTGGCTCACACCTGTAATCCTAGCACTTTGGGAGGCCAAGGAGGGCAGATCACTTAAGGTCAGGAGTTTGAGACCACTCTGGCCAACATGGTAAAACCTCGTCTCTACTAAAAATACAAAAATTAGCCGGTGTGATGGCAGACGCCTGTAATCCCAGCTACTTGGGAGGCTGAGGCAGGAGAATCACTTGAACCCAGGAGGCGAAGGTCGCAGTGAGCCGAGATCACACCATTGCACTCCAGCCTAGGGGACAAGGGCGAAACTCCATCTCAAAAAAAAAAAAAAAAAAAAGGAATCAAGTCAAATTTTGCTGTCATCCATGGATGCAGCTGGAAACCATCATTCTCAGCAAACTATCGCAAGAACAGAAAACCAAATGCTGCATGTTCTCACTCATAGGTGGGAATTGAACAATGAGATCACTTGGACACAGGAAGCGGAACATCACACACCGGGTCCTATTGTGGGGAGGGGCTAGGAAGAGGGATAGCATTAGGAGATATACCTAATGTAAATGACGAGTTAATGGGTGCAGCACACCAACATGGCACATGTATACATATGTAACAAACCTGCACGTTGTGCACATGTACCCTAGAACTTAAAGTATAATAATTAAAAAAAAAATTTGCTGTCATCACTGAATTCAAACTTAGAATTTATATTTTCCAGTTATGTAGTAACATCGAACCTAAAAGGACTTGTTTTCTCTGTTCCTATAAATAACTTTAGCGTTTTTAATTTTCATAATATGAGCAGTTCTCTTTTGAAAGGGTTCTGTTTATAAGCAGCTACCATGTTACTTTGGATTTTGGGGTGCTGTAAATAATCATTAATTTGACGCACATTTTTAGAACTTTTTTTTTTTAATTATACTTTAAGTTCTGGGATACATGTGCAGAACATGCAGGTTTGTTACATAGGTATATACATGATACATGCCATGGTAGTTTGCTGCACCCATCAACCCATCACCTATACTAGGTATTTCTCTTAATGCTCTCCCTCCCCTAGTGTCCCTACCCCTGACAGGCCCCAGTGAGTGATGTTCCCTGCCTTGTGTCCATGTGTTCTCATTGTTCAACTCCTACTTATGAGTGAGAACATGCGGTGTTTGGTTTTCTGTTCCCGTGTTAGTTTCCTGATAATGATGGTTTCCAGCTTCATCCGTGTTCCTGCAAAGGACGTGAGCTCACCCTTTATTTTTTTTGGCTGCATAGTATTCCATGGTGTATATGTGCCACATTTTCTTTATCCAGTCTATCATTGATGGGCATTTGGGTTGGTTCCAAGTCTTTGTGAATAGTGCTGCAATAAGCATCTGTGTGCATGTGTCTTTGTAGTAGAATGATTTATAATCCTTTGGGTATATATCCAGTAATGGGATTGGTAGGTCAAATGATATTTCTTGTTCTAGGTCTTTGAGGAATCACCACACTGTCTTCCACAATGCTGGAACTAATTTACACTCCCACCAACAGTGTAAAAGTGTTTCTATTTCTCCATATCCCCTCCAGCATCTGTTTTTCCCTGACTTTTTAATGACTGCCATTCTAACTGGCATGAGATCGTATCTTATTGTGGTTTTGATTTGCATTTCTCTAATGACCAGTGATGATGAGCTTTTTTTCCATATGTTTGTTGGCCACATAAATGTCTTCTTTTGAGAAGTGTCTGTTCATATCCTTTGCCCAGTTTTTGTTGGGGTCGTTTTATTCTTGTAAATTTGTTTAAGTTCCTTATAGATTCTGGATATTAGGCCTTTGTCAGGTGGATAGATTGCAAAAATTTTCTCCCATTCTGTAGGTTGCCTGTTCAATCTTATGATAGTTTCTTTTGCTGTACAGAAACTCTTTAGTTTAATTAGATCCCATTTGTCAATTTTGGCTTTTGTTGCCATTGCTTTTGATTTTTGTTTTTTTTTTTTTTTTTGAGATCCGTCGCCCAGGCTGGAGTGCAGTGGTACAATTTCGGCTCATTGCAAGCTCTGCCTCCCGGGTTCACGCCATTCTTCTGCCTCAGCCTCCCAAGTAGCTGGGACTACAGGCGCCCACCACCACGCCCGGCTAATTTTTTGTATTTTTAGTAGAGACGGGGTTTCACCATGTTAGCCAGGAAGGTCTCGATCTCCTGACCTCGTGATCCACCCGCCTCAGCCTCCCAAAGTGCTGGGATTATAGGTGTGAGTCACTGCACCCGGTTGCTTTTGGTTTTTTAGTCATAAAGTCTTTGCCCATGCCTATGTCCTAAATGATATTGCCTAGGTTTTCTTCTAGGGTTATTATGGTTTTAGGTCTTATGTTTAAGTCTTTAATCCATCTTGAGTTAATTTTTGTAAGGTGTAAGGAAGGGGTCCAGTTTCAGTTTTCTGTATATGGCTAGCCAGTTTTCCCAACACATTTATTAAACAGGGAATCCTTTCCCCATTGCTTGTTTTTGTCAGGTTTGTCAAAAATTAGATGGTTGTAGATGTG